ATATGATGTCGCAAACTAAACTTTTAAAGTGGTTGTCTGCCTCGTTAATAGAAAAAAAACCCATTGGTAAATCACAGTTTATAAGCAAAGAAACCGTTGATCGGACATTTTGCCCGTTACATTAAGAAGAGATCAATTTGAGCGTAGTTTGCTTCTGCTAGGGTCACACCATCACGATTCGTACGACGACTGAAATTGGTTTTAATCGTAGAGTAATCGTAGTGATCCTATCAGGTCAGTCGTAGCAATCGTGTTAAACGTATCGAAACGTGTCCGAAAAGTTTTTGCACATAGCAGATCGTGGACTGAATAGGGTCAATCCTATCGTAGCGATATTATGTGTGATTTCTTCTGTCAGGGACCCTACTTTTGAATTATATAATATTTATGATTAAGTTTCTGTAAGTGACCCTACCTATAAATATTTCAATTATTTAATATTGCATGATATGTGTGATTTATTCTACCAGGGATCCTACCTTTAAAATTTGAATTATATAATGCTGAATATTATATACGATTTCTTCGTCCAAAATTTGAATTATATATATAATATTTATGATAAATTTATAATTTCTTCTTTCTGAGACCCTACTTTCAAATATTTGAATTGTATAATATTGAATATTATGTATGTGATCTGTTACGCAACACATTTTTGAATAATATGTCTAATTTCTTTTGCCAGAGACCTTACCTTTAAATATTTGAATTATATAATATTTATGATTAAGTTATGAGTTATGTTAATGTGTGCATTGTTCACATGGTAAACACATTTCAACACATGTTTATTAGTTTTTTTCCCGAGACGCAATATTATCATAGCTATCTAAAGTCCTCAAATATGTGCTTTAAAGTGTTTTTAAAGCGTAATTTTTACAGAATATTCTCATCACTGTCTTCAAGTTATTGTGTAAATGTCATGTTCGTATATTCTTTATACATAAAAAGCTGTTAAGGTTGTTTTTATTGTGTACTTATTGAGTCAAGAGCCTAGGGTTCGGTTGAGTTATAATGCTAACTGAAAGTAAGCCAAACAGATTTAGTTTTTTTAACATGGAGTTGAGGTCATGAAAACTGTTTTTGTGCCACACACAGGCCAAGTATGGAATTTTAATCATCACTATAATGGCGTATATAACATTTGGCTTTCTTACGATCTGTAAAAGTTGTACCTATATATGTATTGACGAAAACTTCAAAGTCCATAAAGTCTTTTATTTAGATTTTAAGAAAAGTAAGTAGGTTTTCCGCGCGAACAAAAATTCAGTCTGATCCCCGATTGCCTGTTCGGGCAACCACGATGGCTCAGTGCGTAAGACTTCGGCTCGCTAGCCCAGAGGTCCCATCTTCTAACCCTGCGTTAGACGTGGAAGTTAGCCATCAGTATAAACGGCAATTAAAGGGAGCAAGTGGAAAAACCACACACACATAAATAAAAAACAGAAAAGGGCATGGCCCAGGAACAACGACTAGTGTACATATTGCCGTGAATGTGAAATAAACATTTATGGTTAGATGTGGAAATATAAATCACAGTGGTCTTCATCCATTCTGTACAATTAAATTAAATAAAGCCCCCAGTGTTCTTAATCCACTCATTGCATTTAAATTTTATAGAACCCTCAGTGGTCTTAATCCATACGGTCCAACTAAATTATATAAAACTCTCAGAGTTGTCTTATTCCAACTTTTCCATTTAAATTATATAAAAAATCTTAGTGGTCTTAATCCGCTACACATTTAAATTTGATAAAACGCACAACGGTCTTAACCCACCCTTTACATCTAACTGTGTAGAACCCAGAGTGGTCTGTATCGACCCTTTACATTTAAATTATTTAAGACTCATTGTGGTTTTAATCGACCCAGTACAAAACTCTCAGTAGTCTGAATCCACCCTTTACATTTAAATTATATAAAATGACTAATTGAATTGGAATGGAGTGCTTTAAACTGTCGTATTGACACCGATGACACTGGTGATATTTTGAGGGATTTCTCCAATCAGAAGATCCCAGGTCTAGACAGTCCGTTTACAGAAGGTCAAAGTTCACAGGGATTATATATAATGACTGGGCATGGCATAATTTAGTTGCTCAGTTTATCATACTTAAACTTTGTCAAACATTTGAAGATTTGTTTTTTTTTTATAAATCCGGGACTTCTTGTCTTAGGTAAGACTCTACAACTCGTATCACACATTGTTTAGAGACTGCATTATGATGAAGCAGTTATTTAGAAATTGAACAACGCAAACTCTAGTTTTTCTAGAAAGAACTTCAATGAATTATCAGAATTTGCGCTTGCAATGTGGTCCTATAGGCATATTGTCGTCGCCCCCGCCCGTCGCCCCGTTCGTCCGCCGGGCCGACAAAAGGTATCACCCGATCAGCTTGAAATTTATATACATTGTCCAATTTCTAGAGTTGATTACCTTATTAAATCATGCGAATGCTTTATCGACAAAAATATGAAATGAGTATGCTTGAAATGTCTATGGATTGTTTGGATTAGCGAAATAAAGAATCGTATTGACAAATGCTATAGTTCGATCTGCTGGAAATGAGTGTATATTGGTTAAAATAGTGAAATATAGATGATAATTAGATTTCAACAATTTCCTTTTATTACTTCTAGAGTTAATGCCCTTATTCATTTTATAAAATCTTGTGAATTCTCTGACTACAAAAGTTGCCGTCTGGTCTGATTTGCTTGACATTATTTAATGCATTGTTTAAATTAGTGAAACAAACAAAGACGTCTGTTGACTTTCAGCAATTTCCGTTAATTACATCTCGAGTTACGATGCTAGATCATCTGATCCGCCTGAAAGTTCTTTGCATTGTCCAGACAAGTGAAAAGAAAATAATTCTATAAAATCTATTAACTTTGATCATCTCGTAGAATCTTTTCAACGCGCCAATGATATACAGTATTAAAATTTAGATTTTTAAGATTCACTATGCGATCCCCTTCCTGTACAGCTAGGACGACTTAGCTGCTGTGGGGATATGTGTCGTTGCCTGACAACCCGTCTTGAAAAACTGGCACCAATTTGTATGTAATTTACAGTTTTGAATCTTTAAAAGAGCGAACAAAGTAAGACAAAGGTATTGTTTAATTCGAAGGAAATAAAAACTATGTCGACGCTTTTGGTGTTAATTCTGTTGTTATCTGAAGTTTTATTCAAGATTCCAAAGAAACAATCTTTGTGCCAAATAATGCACAAAAAATACATTAAATGGCATAATTGCTCTTAAAAAAATTGGTGCCTTGCCAGAATGTGTCAGATATTTGAATGTAAGTAGCATATAAATGTTCTTGTGAGAAGAATTGGTTAACTACCTAATAGTTATGTTTACATTATATCTGCCATTAAAGTCCATCACTCTACACATTATCATTCATAATATATATAGAGAGAGAGAGAGAGAGAGAGAGAGAGAGAGAGAGAGAGAGAGATAGACTTAAACCCATTTCATTCATTCATTCATTGTTAAAGAAGACGGACATGCGCCACTTAGTTCTTCATTCTTCATGCAGTGTGCTATAAGAGAGAGAGAGAGAGGGAGAGAGAGAGAGAGAGAGAGAGAGAGAGAGAGAGAGAGAGAAATTTAAACCCCATTTCATTCATTCATTGTTAATGAAGATGGGCACACGCCACGTAGTTCTTCATGCAGTGTGCTATGAAATAAATGAATTCCAACTGTAAGGGATGTTTTGTTCTGTAGTCAACAAGTACATGTATAAATCTCAAATTCCCGTCCCATCCGAAGGACAAGGTACCTTTTTATGAATAATTTCAACTTCCGAATCTTGTAATTAGTAACTTGATATTTTTAATTAGGATACATTAACGCCCACTTAATTAATCGCACAAGTTATGATAAAATCATACACGGTATATGTATACTGAACTACTGTAGATAATAAAATATATGGTAGATATATTTTTATCTTCACATAATCGACAGCAAGGAAATTATCACTATCGTGTTATCAACATCAACGTCATTAAAATGAAGTAGTGTTGTTAAGTATGACTGTTGTTATCTTTTTGGTGAAATCATCAGAACGAATTCTTTGCTGCTTTATAAACATTGTATTATAAGTAAAATGAAATTGTGCAGAATGTCCTACCTTTCTGCACCAACCGGGATATTGAAAATGTCAAGGGATCTTTTACGTGCAACCCAATGTGTATATGGGTTTTCGTCCCATCCCAACGACTAGACAGCTGTTCTTGTCAGGCCCTCCATCTGCACCACTGACAAGGGGAAACCATTGATTTTGATAAGGTCTCCTAACGTTACATTATGTAGTTGTCACAGTGACACGCTCAACTTTAACCTGCCCTTTTTCTAATTTAATTATCTTGTTAAACAATTCATAACAAGCCGGGTCGTTCACATATTTTAGAAGTCAAGATATGTACTGTTTTAATGAGAAGACTGCACATTGTTGTCATGTAATCGAGCACACATGAGCATTAAAGATACCCTTAAGAAGAATGAGCTATAACTTGTACTTAAAGATACCTTTATGAAGAATGGACTATAATGTGTACTAAAGGATAGCGAAATTACTATCACTATGGTTGTCTTAGATATATAAAGCCGCGGCGGCTCAGTGAGTAATCAGGATAGCCCGGGTTCGCTCCCAGTGTGAGCCAAGAGAGTTCCTCAGGATTTTCCAGCGTGCACGCATGGTTTCCCCCTTGTACGCAAACGAGGGCTTGTCAAGGACAGTGTCTAGTCGTTCGGATGCGACGAAAAACCGACGTAAGAGAACCATTGACAGTTGGAATTCGAAATAAGAGTAGGTCGTAGCGCCGCAGTCTGTACACAATGTTCCCAATAGCATGGCGTGCGCGTCTTCAATAACCCAGTCGGTGCGGAGAAGTAGAATGTTAAGCCCCATTTCATTTTGTTCCATCCGGGCTAATCAAGATGGATAAATGCATTAATAAAAAATGATGATCTTTTTTATTTTAGATGAAACAGATCGAGCTATAAAACGCCGAGAAAGATGGCAGAAACACCACAACAACCACAGTCCGAAACAAGAACCAAAACAACACAGTCGACGAAAACGTTCAATATCTACAGAGAAATATGTCGAAACGTTGATTGTCATCGATCCGGTTATGACCAAATATTATCAAAACGAAGATCTAGAAAATTACGTCCTTACTGTTATGAATATGGTAAGAGATTTACGCCCTTACTGTAATAAGTAGTGTAAGAAAATTACGTCCTTCACTTCTTACTGTAATGAATATGGTAAGAGATTTACATCCTTACTGTAATAAGTAGCGTAAGAAAATTATGTCCTTACTGTAATGAATATGGTAAGAGAATTACATCCTTACTGTAATGAGTAGTGTAAGAAAATTACGTCCTTACTGTAATGAATATGGTAAGAGAATTACATCCTTACTGTAATGAGTAGTGTAAGAAAATTATGTCCTTACTGTAATGCGTATGGTAAGAACATTATCTCCTTACTTTTATGAATATGGTAAGAGACGAATTACGTACTTACTGAAATAAGGACTGTAAGAAAATCATGTCCTTACTGTTATGAATATTATAAGAAAATTACGTCCTTATTGCAATGCATGCGATAAGAAAATAATTTGTTTCTGTATGAAAATTACAGCCTTAAATTGTAATGAATATGGTAAGAGAATTACATCCTTACTGTAATGAGTAGTGTAAGAAAATTACGTCCTTACTGTAATGAATATGGTAAAAGAATTACATCCTTACTGTAATGAGTAGAGTAAGAAAAGTATGTCCTTACTGTAATGCGTATGGTAAGAACATTATCTTCTTACTTTTATGAATATGGTAAGAGAATTACGTACTTACTGAAATAAGGACTGTAAGAAAATTATGTCCTTACTGTTATGAATATTATAAGAAAATTACGTCCTTATTGCAATGCATGCTATAAGAAAATAATTTGTTTCTGTATGAAAATTACAGCCTTAAATTGTAATGAATATGGTAAGAGAATTACATCCTTACTGTAATGAGTAGTGTAAGAAAATTACGTCCTTACTGTAATGAATATGGTAAAAGAATTACATCCTTACTGTAATGAGTAGAGTAAGAAAAGTATGTCCTTACTGTAATGCGTATGGTAAGAACATTATCTTCTTACTTTTATGAATATGGTAAGAGAATTACGTACTTACTGAAATAAGGACTGTAAGAAAATTATGTCCTTACTGTTATGAATATTATAAGAAAATTACGTCCTTATTGCAATGCATGCTATAAGAAAATAATTTGTTTCTGTATGAAAATTACAGCCTTAAATTGTAATGAATATGGTAAGAGAATTACATCCTTACTGTAATGAGTAGTGAAAGAAAATTACGTCCTTACTGTAATGAATATGGTAAGAGAATTACATCCTTACTGTAATGAGTAGTGTAAGAAAATTATGTCCTTACTGTAATGCGTATGGTAAGAACATTATCTCCTTACTTTTATGAATGTGGTAAGAGAATTACGTACTTACTGAAATAAGCACTGTAAGAAAATTATGTCCTTACTGTTATGAATATTATAAGAAAATTACGTCCTTATTGCAATGCATGCGATAAGAAAAGAATTTGTTTCTGTATGAAAATTACAGCCTTCAATTGTAATGAATATGGTAAGAAAATTTCGCCCTTACTGTAATAAAATTGGCAAGACAATTAAAATAGAGCCAACGTTGAGACATAACTGATTTTATGTTTAAGGAAACAGATTGACATGGAAAACCCCTTGACAATGATAAACCTATCACTGGTTTGTGCTGTACGAAGTGGCGCATGGTACCCACGAAGTAGAGGTACTTAGCATAATATGGGTCTTATTCAGCGAGGGAAAACCCACGAGGTTGGACAGGCGCCCATACCCCTTGTCCCGTACAAGCAGGGAATCGAAACAGTGCCACTTGAGTCAACGACAGAACAAATGATCTAAAGCACATGCTTTAAACAATTGGGCCACCCAAGTCCCCTGTTTCAGAATACAAACTATTTATCTTGTATATATATACTATTTTCAGGTAGCTACGATGTTTCATGATGCTACTATTGGTAACGCTGTTAACATAGCCATTGTTAGAATAATGATTCTTGAAGATGATCAGGTAGATTGTCATCCACTTCCAAATTATATTCCACACAACTAATTCAAATAACTTTCCATGTTATATTCCACACAACTAATTCAAATAAGTTTCCGCAAATAGTGAATGAATGATAATTGTTAACGGTAAAGCTGTCACGATTATCTCCCTTTAAATTAAAAGTCATCGGGTGAAGAACTGAACTGGAAATGGGTTTAATGTCCTACTTGTCTACACTAACCTGAATAAAAAGGCCGGCATTCGCTATGGAGTGTGCCAGCATAGCGGCGTTATGGTCTACTCTTATTTCAAATGTCAAGGGTTCTATTACGTGCACGAAAATATCAGTTTTTCTTCCCATCCAAACAACTAGACACTGTTCCTTGCCACGGTAATCCACAGGAACGTTCTCCCAACACCGGTATATAACCCGGATGACCAGGTTAGTGACCCAACGCCCTTACCAACTGAGCCACCGTTGCCCTCGTCAGTTGCCACTAGAACTAAACTCAAATTCGGCAACCCCAACTCCATGGAGAAATCTCAATTATATGGCAGTACTTTTATAAGTTTCTTTGTATAAATGTTTATTCCAGGAAACATTAACAATCACTCACCATGCCGATAATTCATTACGTAGTTTTTGTAAATGGCAGAAGACAATTAATTTCCCTGGTGAAGATCATCCCAATCATCACGATGTAGCCCTACTTCTTACCAGGTAATTATAAACACACAGAATGTTATGATATTAATAGGATATTAAAACAGAATGAAATGGGGTTTTACGTCCCACTCTTCTGCATCGACTGGGCTTATGAAGACGGGCACATGCCATGCAGTGAGGCATGATGGTAATTCTGCCTGGACAGTGGCGCTACGGCCTACTCTTATTTCGAATCCCAATTGTCAAGAGTTCTTTTACGTGCACGCCAATGTTGTGTACACGAGGCTAAAATCTATTATGGAAGAATCAATTAATATGTTTTAATTATCAATTTTTTACATAATAAAAGGAACCCCATGACACATTACCCGACTGAAACCACCTTACTGGATCCTTGATAATATCTAAAACCAGTGAGCAGATGAATTTTTTTATGTTGCCTTTAAAAGAAAGAAAAAAAGGGCATTATATAGGAATTCATCTGTTCACTTTTAGACGCATCAGTATGTTAAATGCTGATATTCCCAAAGCCCGTAGACATACTAAAACATATCACCACGTAAGCTTGGTTTCTCTTGCGTCAAAACATCTATTTTATTATGCTTTTTATAAAGACATAATTCATATGTTTATCAACACTGATAATGACTGTAATGTATGATGTACAAAAACAATTTGGTATACATACATTGGTAACTTCTCTATGTTTTCTATTATTACAGACATAATATTTGTTCTCGTATGAATGAACCGTGTAGTACTCTAGGTTTAGCTCAGGTAGCAGGATTATGTCAATCCCACAGATCGTGTAATATAGATGAAGATACAGGACTAGCTCTAGCTTTTACCATAGCTCATGAAATAGGACACAAGTAAGTTGTCAAGTACATAAATGTCAATGTTTGTCATGGATACAAGGATAGTAGGTCATTGGCCTTGGGACCACCGGTATCTGGGAACACTGAAACTACTTTGTCTAACAGCGTGCCAGCCTATAATATTGTTTCAGGATTGGACTACATTTCTAAATAGATTTGGGGAGCTACTGATGAGTGTGGCCTAGGACCCACAAATAGGTAAATCCTGCTCTGTAAATTTGCGTTGTTTTTCAGCGAATTGACAAACAGATATAATGCATCACCCATCAAATATGATGTAGTATAGCAGTTCCTGATAAAAGGACAAATGTGAGCCAAAATCGCAGTTGGTCCTGCTGTCCTACTGCCAGCTAGCGCACAATGTTCTCTAGATCGGATCAAGGATGACAACGTAGATCAGTCAGAACTTATTATCCAAATGCCCCAGCAGTAGTGATAAGTTTACGTTAGTTATCACTTCTTAGATTGGGCGGGTGAAATGGTAGGGGTCTGGGGGTCCTAACAAGGTTCCATGCATTGTATAATACTACGGTGATAGTGGTTGCAAATTGCCATTACGTTCTACCGTTCTTACCTTACGCTGGACTTGCATCTCAGTCATGACTGGCTTTCATTTCCAAATTTACCAGAAAACATTTGCCTGCGACATCATCCCCCGGTCGAAACAGAGGTTAATTAATACCCACTAATGAACAACAAGCTTTTTATTCTCATTTCTCTGCCTTACCACCCTCGGTGGAAGCGGAAGTTAACCCCCACTAACGAATCGCGAATCCTTTATCCTTTTTCTTGTCATTTTTAGTTTTGGTATGAAACATGATCTACAAGATAGTGAGTGTGCTTCACCCGAAGATAAACAGTACGTAATGGCTCCTCACCTTGTAGCTGACAGTACACCAATGGCTTGGTCAGCTTGCAGCAGAGAATCAATCACCAAATTCTTAGAGTAAGTTGTTATCTATCCTATGTTTGAATTTAAGAATTCGACCTGAAAGTGGCAATAATTTGTTACCATTAATTAGATGTTAATTATACTAATTGTTGATTTGTATATTAGTTTATAAATTATAAGAGAGAGAGAGATGGGGTTTAACGTCCACTCGACACAAACTAGGTCATTTCGGGACTAACACATGGTTCAATTTTATTTCAATAATTCGCTTGCGCGTAGGCATCATTAGCAGTGGGGGGAAACCGGAGGACCTGGAGAAAACTCACGAGGTTGGACATGGTTCAGTTTTTACTTCAATAATTCGCTTGCGCGTAGGGGTCTTTTGGACAGGCGACTCTACTCCTTGTCACTACAACCGGGGAATCGAAACCACGCCAGTTGACTCAATGACAGACCTTATGATAGAGCGCGCACCTGCTAACCATTCGGCCATCCAACCCCCTAAATTATAACAGTCTAAATTCTGGTATTTGCAATATTCTAGAATAATGCCCATTCTTAACCTTTTTTATGTGCGCGTACCCTAGCGCTTTCATAATACTTCCCCGTACGCCCTGTCTAAAATGACTTAAAAAATAAATTAAATTATAATAATTGATATGAAATACAATGTAAGTTTATTTATACAATGCGATGGATACGTACAAAAAATACCGAATATATAAATAGTTTTTCAAGTTCAACCGTACTTACACAGTACACCGACAATCAGACATATTACTAATCCATACAGATTGAATTTGACACCTTATCTCGTACCCCCTGCTTTGATGCTTCGTACCCTCAAGCGGAACACGCCCCGGTTAAACATACATAATGCAAGATCTAAATCTGCATATTGCACGTCTTTCTTTAAGCCTGATAATGTTATTTAAACTATTAACATGAAATGACCATAATCAACTCTCGGCGCTATCTTATGTGTCCGATTTGCAATGGATTTGTATCCAATCTGCTGTTCAACGCCCATTGATGATTAACCGCAGAAATGGATAGACAAGACTTTGTTAATTATCGTGAGAGCGCGTGACAACGGCAACAATGACAATCGTGGCTACAGTGATTTTAAAACAAGATTTTATCGGCTTAGAGTGAAGCAATTTGACTGAAATATTCAGCATATTCCCAGCTCTTTATCTAACCCTTCATAATGTATCTTTAAGAACTTTTTCTGTAAACAGACGTTATTTTGGAAGCAAACCAATTTAATAAGATTTAAACATTGTATTGGAGAGATGGTTCAATACAACAGAGTTACCATTTATAGTCTAGTCGTGATCAAAAACACCTTTTATCAGCTTGTTGTAATGTGTGTGCGTTGTTTGGGGGTGGGGAGGAATTGTAGAGTGATCTAATGCGTGCGCTATAGATCACCAGGTCTGTTGTCATTGAATAAAGAAGAAGGGTTTCTCGAACAACCTCGTGTGTTTTCTCCAGATCCTCCTGTTTCCTGTCACTGCTAAAATCCCCAACCAACAAGCGAATTATCAAAATGAAATTGAACCATACCTTAATTCCGAAATGGACTAGTTTGTTTGTGTTGAGTGGACGTTAAACCTATTTCCCCTATCTCTTTTCCAGTAACTATACCTATACAATTCGCGGTGCTTTGTTTTTCGCCAGCGCCGAAGTCGGTTTAAATAAAGGGAAGTAAATAACTTTAACCGGTTTGGAATCAGACGACTACATTCAATGTTTTGGCCCTCAAATTTAATCGTCTGTAATACATTAGATTGATTGCACGAATTATGTTTTCAGTCGTGATTGGGGTTTCTGTCTGGACGATGAACCAACAACCAACGAGTTTCAGTATCCATCGAAACCAGCGGGTATTATGTATGATGCTGATCATCAATGTAGACTCTTGTACAGTGACGATGCTGCTTTATGTGAGGGCATTGAAGTTATAGAGGTAAGTAGCATCTTCTCAGGTCAATACTCAAATATTTGAACCAACCATGCTGCTGGTTGCCAGTGCCTACCCTCTGCTTACTAGCTGTTGCTTCTGAAATCCACTGTAAGTTGCCAGTTTTCGTTTGTGTTGGATGTTTACACTTTTTTGAAATGTGAGTTTAGATATCTTGAACACTTTATTTGAAATGATCTGCAATTGTATACCAACGGTCATTTGTTTCCATGGAAACATTAAAGTATTCTTTACGGAGAAATTTCTGTTTAGGAAAAGGCACTCAACGTGATGCGTGTACAGGATTTTATGAAGTTATCCTGAAGGCTTTATGAGATATGCTCCAGAAACAAAATTGGGATGGAAGGACGGACAGACAAATGAAATGAAATGAAATGGGGTTTAACGTCCTACTGTTCTGCTCCTATACTGGGCTAATGAAGACGGGCATACGCCAGACTGTGTTATAAGGGAAATTTTGCCCGGGCAGCGGCACTATCGCCTACTCTTATATCGAATTCCAACTGCCAAGGAATCTTTTACGTGCATTCCAATGTTTACACGGGACCTCGGTTTTTCGTCTCATCCGAAGGACTAGACAGCTGTCCTTGTCAGGCCCTCCGTCCTGCATCACTGACAAGGGGAAACCACGTCGGAAAATCGGGATGAACTTTCTCGGCCAATGCAGGGATCGAACACCCGACCTCCAGGCTAGCCAGCCAGCGCCGCCTTGCCCACCTAGCCACCGTGGCTCCGGACAGACAGACGGAAAGACAGAACGACTGATGGACGAGCATAATTCAGCACCACTCGTTCGGTGTGGGATAAAATAAGAACAGCTGGTAAACATTTTGTTGTGTTAAAACATTTTTATTTTGTCATTTTGTGGGTTAACTGAGACATTGTATTTATCAATCATTTTTATTCTGTCAGTGGGTTAACTGGATGCGGTTATCCTTTCTGAAAATAAAACAAAAACAAAACAATAACTAATAGAAAGTGTCTGCTTACGGTCATTGGCTGTCAAAAATTCTTTGGTTTTGTGAAAATTGCCAAAATTTCTTTTGGAAGACGTAGTGGACTGACATACTGTGTATTGTTCTTTCGCAATTCTTCGATTCCATTTTCATGGAAATGACATAAAATAAACAAAAGACAGAGACCAATTCAACCGAAATCTATACTAATATTTGTGGCTGTCGTTTGTCTGTTCGGGGTTGGTGGCTACACTAGGTGTGCTCCGAGTCTGAAATTTGGGGTATAGGGGTAGCTCGGACCGGGGAGTAACATAGGCCAGGTGGCGTTAGTCTACCACTTCCGGTTTCGGGGTTATGACCCCCGAGCGAAGCCGGGCATTCTGCTAGTACCTTATATTAAAGTCTAACAAGAATTCTAAGACTATTGCTGAAGCAATATATATGTACACCGGCGCCAACAAATGTTACATTTATAGTTCACCATACAACACCACAAAAATAACGGATTTTAATTAAACTTACCATGGACAAACACGATTGCATTCAGATTTGGTCTCAAAGTTGTTCCCGTTTCCACCACAACCACCGTAGATAAATCTGGTACATTTCCCTGTTGATTTGTTGTAATAATATCTGGGCATATAAGCTCGACACATACCCCCTTCTGCTCTTAACTCACACACATTAATACGCCTAGCTGTAATTAATACAATATATAAATACACGCCAAAGAAACATAATTTTCTAGGCCACCACCGTGATCGACCCCTGGATATCCTGGTTACCGGACCACCACCGTGATCGACCCTAGGATATCCTGGTTACCGGACCACCACCGTGATCGACCCTAGGATATCTTGGTTAGTGGGCCACCACCGTGTTCGATCCCGGGACCACCGAGATCGATCCCGGGGTATCCTGGTTAGTAGGTCACCACCCGGTTCGATCCCGGAATATCCTGGCTAGTGCACCAGCGCCACACCTACTGAGCTGCCTTGGCTTCACCAACCACCAAGGAAATCGAAAGTTTGTATCTCTGCGAAAAGCACCACACAGCTTCGTAAAGTTAGGTGTACAGGTACTAGGAAAAAGGTTGCTAAGTTTCTTCTACACAGAATTAATCCATTAGATTTATTTAAATATATGAGAAACTTCTCCTTTAATCCTATATTTATTTAAAATCTGAATAATACAAGCCTCTACAGCCTACACAATTCTTCTCTGACAACAACAATTCGCCGCATCACAGAATAAAAAAAGTTTCCGGCTTATTGTTGCAAATGGATTGGACCCAAAACATTAAATGCAGAATATGGTATCGAAATATAAACTAGGATCCAATTCAATGCTGTTTGCCACTTGAAAGTAACAATTAAGACAGAACCAGATTCGAACTGCAATATTTAAGAAATATAAGTCACATAAATTAACATTTTGACATGTGTAAATAGCTAACACACCATGTAAGTAAGAAGCTACTAGCATTCAAGTTGGAATGAAATGAAATGGGGTTTAACGTCCTACTTTTCTGCTACGACTGGGCTAGTGACGACGGGCATACACCATACAGTTTGCGCTACTGCCTACTCTTATATCGAATTCCAACAAGCCAATGTCTACACGGAGCCTCTGTGTTTTGTCCCATCCGAACGACTAGACAGTTATCCTTGACAGACCCTCCGCCCTGCTCCACTGACAAGGCGGAAAGTACGTCGGAAAACTCCCAAGGACATTTCTCAGCCAACCCTGGAAGCGACCCCAAAACCACTAGGTTAGCGAGTCAGTGGCTTACTGGCTGAGCCATCGTGAAACTTCATTGAAGAAGCAATATTAGCATAACTTGATGAAGCGTAAGAATTATGTCGTACATTCCGCTCCATAGAAGATGTCACTCTGAAAACGTTACAACTCATATTTTCTACAAACTTCACAGAAACTGTTTATCAGCAGAAAAGATGACCGGTCACGTGATTATCGTCACCATTTTCAAGTCCAAACCCTTATTCACAGTAAAATACATACCAACAGGACTTCTAGCTTCGCATGTAGTCAACAAGATGGTTGCAACAATGGCTAAAATGGCTACAGCTACGGAGAAACGCATGGCTATGTTGAGTTATACTGTTCGTCTTTTGGTAGAAACAGGTTATTCAATACTGAACATAGCAATAGTCCATTGTATTTATACAAATATCTCTCGACCACGTTCGGAAACTTTAAAATTGGTTAATTTCCGAAAGATAAATTTGAAGTGAGAAATAATCACCGATGAAATTGTTTTATGTTATTATAAAGTTATAAATGTGTCGGTGAGTTATACGTGTACAATCAGTGATTGCCATTTAAATGCCACTCAAGGATAATATTTTGTTTGTTAAGGATATTGACAACACCATCCTGTTCAAATATGATAATGATCTCATATTAGGTTTATGGGGATTAATCGAGTTATATTTAACATTTAAACGGCACAGGAGACAATCAAGGAAGCGGAATATACTTGGGATACTGCAATTTGTGAAAATAGTTTATAACGAATTTAGACAACAATTTAGTAATACATGTACATGTATTTTATACCAGCCCCCCCCCCCCACCAAAAGCTTAAAAACTCAACTTATACAAAACAACTACGCAATATCTTAGTAAGAACGAACGGGTCTTTATCTCAATCCTACCTGCTGCTTCTCTAACATTTTTGACTATTTGTACAACTTTATTTGCAAGTGCAAAACCAAACAAAACCGATAAGACAATACTGCGGACAACTATTCAGTCAACTATTCAGACATTGCAAATAACAGACAAAAAATATCAAATCAAGTGAATGGATCCTGGGCCAGCCGTAAGCATCCACAACGCTGTAAGTCCATAATCCGGAAAGAATTTCTAAATAAAGTGTATAGTAAGCAAACAGAGCGGAGCCCAATACGAAGGGCTAAAACACTAAACTGCAGACACGCAAAGTCCAACAACAAGCATATACTTCAATACGAAGGGCTAAAACTGTATTCTAATAGTAAGTCGACAGACATGTGGACAAGACACGAACTACACTGGCAAACAGTAAAAAAGCAATTATGTGAAATCAATATTAAATCAAGCGAATGGACCTTGGGTCTAGATCTAAGCATCCACTGAGCTGTACATGTCATTTTTGTAAAATATTTGTACAACTTTATGGCGTAGAGTGTATAATAATTAAGACATTTTATTTTTGTAGAATATTTGTACAACGTTATGGTGTAGAGTGAATAATTTTTTTAGAATAGTTGTACCACTTTATGGTGTAGAGTGGATAATTGTAAAGATATTTTAATTTTGTAGAATATTTGTAATTGTATATCAATGTCGCTGTGCGTAGGGCGAATAATAGTGAAGATATTTTAATCTTTGTAGAATATCTGTACCATTTTATGGTGTAGTAGAGTGAATAATAATTAAGCCTTTTTAATTTTGTAGAATATCTGTACAACGCTGTGGTGTAGAGTGGATAATAAATGTTCAACTAAATTACAAGCAGCAGCAGAAGGAACTATATGTGGTGATAATAAAGTTAGTTTTTACTTCTATACAAATCGAGGGGAGTTGGGTGGCCGAATGGTCGAACGCGTGTGATCGTAAGGTCTGTCATTGAGTCAATCATTGGTTTCATTTTCCATCTTGTACGTTTACAAGGAGAAGGGTCGCCTGTCCAGCCACCTGTTTTTTTCCGGGGCTCAGGTTTTCTCCCACACCTGAAGACCCCAATTATTGAAATAAAATTAAACCATATTAGTCCCTAAAAAATCTAGTTTGTGTCATGTTGACCGCTTATCCCTCCCACCCCCTCTCTCCCCCTCCTCTCTCTTCTAGTGTATTACTATTAATTTAATTTGTAAATCTATTTCACTAGTGGTGTTATGCTGGTAAATGTGTGGAGATTGGTGATAGACCAGATGCTATTAATGGTGAATGGGGAGAATGGGGATCTTGGACCGACTGTTCTAGAACTTGTGGTGCTGGTATATCTGTATCTCAAAGACATTGCGAAAATCCACAGTGAGACAATTTTCAATTCTTATTCATGCCATACATTTTTTTTTTAATTTGAAGTTCATACCATCGTCATATTAAATAGTCTAGGTCTGTTCTTCAATCTCTTTTTTAAAAAAAAATAATTCTTATCTATGTCATAAAGTTATTTTGGAATTTGAAGTTCAAACCATATATGTTCATAAAATGTATGTCTGTTCCTCAATCACTTTGGGGGGGGGGGGGGTCACGGTGACTAAGTGGGTAAGACGCTGGTTCGCTAGCCTGGTGGTAGGGTGTTCGATCCCTGCATTGGCCGAGAAAGTTCATCCAGATTTTCGGGCGTGGTTCCCACGAAAAGACAGCTGTCTAGTCGTTCGGATGGGACGAAAAACCGAGGTCCCATGTACACATTGGCGTACAAGATCCCTTGACAGTTGAATTTCGATATAAGAGTAGGCCGTAGTACCGTTGTCCGGGCAAAATTTCCCTCATAGCACACTGTATGGCGTATGCCCGTCTTCATTAGCCCAGTTTAGAGCAGAACAGTAGGACGTTAAACCCAATTTCATTGCATTTGTCAACCCCTTTCAAATTTTGAAGAAAATATTGTTTATACCCCCCCCCCCCCAATCATATCACGAGTCATTAACGATTGGCTGTTTTATGGTACACATCAAGGACTGCAAGTCAAATACTTTATGAAAATTACTCGATGTATATGCAATTTCCATCCAACAAATCAAAAATTTAAAAGTGTATGTGATATAAATAAATGAATGCAATTATTGATAGGCCGGTTTATATTCCCAGAATAGACTCTAACTTGTGCATGTTAATTTGCAGGCCATCACATGGAGGAAGGTATTGTCTGGGTGAGAGAAAAAGATACAAAACATGTAATACTAAGGTAAGAAAATAGGCTACAGGAAAACTGCGAAGAAACGGTGCTTCACACTACCTAGATCTTGGCAAAATCCAGTCACACCAGAACAATCTAGTGTTTATTGGTAAAGATATATTATGCAAGAGCTAAATCTGCCCATTGCAGGTTCTTCTTTAGGTCTTAAATGTTATATAAATTATTAATTAGACATCAACAGTAGTTAATTTACCATATGTTGATATTTATTCACATATCCCTAAAACAATATTTTATGACAAATTGTCGTATTGTGTCCGTCTCTAACCCTTACATTACTGAATAAAATTCTGTTTAATATTAAAGTCCTTATAACATTATTTTGTTTGTGTTTTTAGCCATGTCCAGAAGATGGTTTAGATTTCCGCCATTATCAATGTTTACAGTTTAATCACGTGCCATACAAAAATGGTTTACATGAATGGTCTCCCGTCCCTACTCCTAGTAAGTAATGTATTCCTCCAAAGGTAGTGACCCAAACTAACATTAATCCTCGGCTGAATATATGGCCGAGCAAACAAAGTTGAGGATTTACACTTAACAAAATGGTCATGTAGTGACGGGTGTCTAGAACACAATTATTCCCCCTTTCTTGTTAATAATTGTGAAAATAATGAATAATTGAATAATGAATAATTGTGAGCATAATCAATAATTGTAATTGAGAATAGAATTATAAAAAAATGTATTTATTGCAAGAATAATAATAGTGAGTTCTTATATTGCGCACAGATCCATTAAAGTTAATGCTCAAGGCGCATTTAGCACTCCGCATATCACAAGATAAAAACACAACTAATATTAATAAGCAGTCGAAAAAAGATGAGTCTTTAATTGCTTCTTAAAACAGTTAAGCGATTGTGAATTCTTTAAGGACAAGGGTAATGAATGCCATAGGTTTGGTACCAGTGTATGAGAAGCATCTCCAACTGAATGAATTCTATATAGTTGGGTCCCACAAGATGATATTCATGTTGGGACCGACGATTTCGTTGGGGGACATAACAAACAAGCATTGAGGACGAGTAGTCTGGTGCTTCACCTTTCTGGCATTTGTAGGCTATGCACAGACGTTTGAACTTAATTCTGCTTTCCACTGGAAGCCAATGTAAATCCTTTAACAATAGTGTGTATGGCAATTTCTATTAGATTGACATACAATTCTAGCCGCTGTATTGTGTACAAGTTGCAATTTGTGTATAAGGCTGTTGTTTATGCCACACAGAAAGTTATTGCAGTAGTCGAGTCTGGATAAAATTAAAAATCGAAACCAGCGCATGTGCTGCATTTTTTCTGATCAAATTGCGGATACGACATGGGGACCTCAAGTGAAAGAAGCACGTCTTGCAAATCTGATTCACTTGAATGATGAATAATTGAATCATGAATAATTGTGAGAATATTGGATAACTGAATCTGAGAATCATGGATAATTGGTAATTATATTTTTATTGTAGATATACCATGCAATCCTCACTGTAAACCTAACAATATGTTTTTTATTTTAGATACACCATGCCAGCTTCACTGTAAACCTAACGATAAGTTTTTTTCCGTCATGTTAAAAGATACCGTAACAGATGGTACACCGTGTATGCCAGGAACAAGAAATATGTGTATCAGCGGTAGATGTCGGGTAAGTTTATTTCTCCTCATAGGGCTCCGTCCGTTCTTTATAACCTGAATATCGCACTATTCCCATCGTAATATGTGATTATTCTGCCTCACAAACACATCTCTTTGAACACATTCGGACAGTACGAGGGGAGTATGTCCACCCCCTACCCAATTACCACCTTCACCGAATATACTTATAAATCCTCTGTTTACTATGTTTGAATTTGGTTTAAGATCGAATAATTGTCCATCTAGAGCTTCTTCTAGGCACATATTCCTGTAGGGGGGGGGGGACGCAAATGGTGCGCGCTGTGTCATAAGGTCTGTCATTTAACATTGTACGTGACAAGGAGTTCAACCTCGTGTGTTTTCTCCGGGTCCTCCGACTCCATTTTATTAAAATAAAATAGAACCATATGTTAGTCCCGAAATGGCCTAAAATATGATTGGGGTATAGATTCTAGTTCTACTGGTGTCTATGGTGATATAATTAATAGAATTGAATCTTTTCACCGTGTAAGGTGTGATTGTGATACAGAGTTTAGTGGTTTCTATGGTGATATAATTAATAGAATTTAATCTTTTCACCGTGTAGGGTGTGATTGGGGGTACAAATTCTAGTGCTACTCGTTTATGTGTTGATATAATTAATAGAATATGTTTCAATCTGTTCATCGTATAGGGTGTGATTGAGGTACATATTTTAGTGCTACTGTGGTGATATAATTAATATGTTGTAATATTTCAGCATGTGGGATGTGATTGGGGTATAGATTCTAGTGCCACTGAAGATATTTGTGGTGTTTGTTATGGAGATGGCTCAACATGTCAGACAGTCAAACAACAATTTAACCTCACAGAAAAACTAGGTACCAATAGTCACAACTGCCATCTTGTATTCACGGGTTCTTTTACGCGACGTCAATGTCTACACGAGTGCATCTTTGTTGTTCACCCCTTCCGAACATCCAGTTACACTTCCATTTACGCTCTGTAGATACCACCCATAATTTAGTACCCCTTAATATTATCCGCCGTAAAAGTGCGACGCCACCCATCTTTGCAAATTTGAATTGTAGCCTGTCCATTCGTTGGTATAGGGCTTAACGCCTGCTTATACTTAGGTGATACCACAGACAGTTATTATCCCTGTCCATCTTTTTATTGGCCCTTTCGTTAGATCTCTAGTTATCTATCCTGAAGCTTGTCCAAGGGACGCCATTTAAATAGTGAAATGAAAATATGGTAATGAAAAGAATGTGAGAAAGGCGAAGTTTGTCTGGACAGCGTTTCCATCTAATTTTCTTCGATTTCCAACTGTCAAGGGTTCTATTCCGTGACGCCAATGTATACGTCAGGTTATCGTCCCTTTCGAACATTGATGCACACTTTCCTTGTCAGATCTGTAGACACCACTCCGGATATTTCCTACCAACAAATATTTATGAACTTGTGCTGAACCGAACGCAGTACAGCTATGACCCTGAAATGATGGCGCCACCCTTACACATCAAATTGCAGCACCGTAGCAGCTCTAGTGTAGCCACGAACACTGATCAAACAGACAGTCACAATTATATTTATGAATTATATTTCAGGTTATGTAGAAGCTGCTATTATACCCGCTGGAGCTAGAAATATCCGTGTTGAAGAAGTTGCGGAAGCTAATAATTTCCTAGCTTTAAAGAATGATAATGATGTATACTATTTAAATGGGCATTGGTTTATACAGTGGAGTGGTGATTACGAGGTGGCTGGGACTGTCGTGCACTATACAAGAACTGGTAACAGCAAGGAAAGGTTCATGGCTCCAGGACCAATAAAAGAACCGTTACATGTTATGGTAGGTTGTTGAACAAGAAGATTTATTTCTAAGTAACTTATTACGAGGCGGGTCCGGTTTCTAGTGGTCAGGGGTAGTTAGTTTCTGCAGGGCTGACAAGGAAGACAAATTGGACTATTTCAAGACAGGCTTTAATACCCGGAGCGATGTAGTGGGATTTGCACTATTGACTCGGGGGTCACGGTGGTTCGGTGGGTAGGACGAACCAGGAGATCCCTGGTTCGATTTCATCGTTGGCAGTGAAATTTTTACGGGATTTCATACCCTCATTGAGACAAAAAACCGACGTCACATGTATACCCATTGGAAGCATGTTAAAAATCCATTTGGTGCAGTCAATTGGGTTAGAGCCCATTTATTTCATTTCCCCACCATCATTGAAGCTGGCATAAAAAAATAATAAGTTGACTTAATTCTGTTGTTATTACGAGGCCGAATACGTTTCGGCTTGTCTGCGGGGTTGAAATGGAAAACTGGACTCCATCTGTGTAAATAATGGGGTGTACGTAAAGGCATCCTTGGCAGTTAAAGATTACATTCATTTCATCTCACTGTGAGTCAACTGGAGGGGTTTCGATTCCCCAGTTGTACGTGACAAGGAGTAGGGTCGCCTGTCCAACCTCGTGGGTTTTTCTCCGGGTCCTCCGGTTTCCTTCCAGTACTAAAGACCCCTACGCGCAAGCGAATTATTGAAATAAAATTGAACCATGTGTTAGTCCCGAAATGGCCTAGTTTTTGTCAAGTGGACGTTAAACTCTCTCTCTCTCTCTCTCTCTCTCTCTCTCTCTTATTGAAGTGAAAACACCACTGTCTAGGCAAAACCATCACCCGTAGGATCGTACATTCATTTCATTTATTCGAATCCCCCCCCGCACCCCATAGCATTGTTATACATTCATATCATCTTACTGTTGACTCTTGGTTTGTATTTCAGTTATTACTACAAACAGACAATCAGGGTATAGAGTTTGAATATACAGTACCTAAAGTGAATGCTACAGATACTAGTAAACCCGAGTTTACCTGGAGATATACTGACCTATCACATTGTACTGTCTCTTGTGGTGGAGGTAGGTTGTTTATTCCTGGAACCACAAATATAGTGAACTGGCGTGGTGTCGATTCCCAGCTTGTACGTGACAAGGAGTAGGGTCGTCTGTTCAGCCTATGCGCAAGGGAATTATTGAAATAAAATTGTACCCTATGTCAGTCCCAAAATAAACACCCGACACCACATCTCATTAGTTAGTACGGAAGTTCACACAGCTAAAAAAAATGGTTATGAATATGTTTGTCAGGGGTGCACCTGCCAGACCTAGTCTTTCGGATGACACGGAAATTAGGGACCAACCCGTGTACACGTTGACATGCACATACAGTAAAAAAACCCTTCGTAGTTGGAATTCGAAGAAGAGTTGACAAAAACCTAACAGACTGGGCACCACCTCCCCCATTACATTACACACGTAACCATAGTTATAAAAATTATCACATCTTAGTCTCAGAATAACTGACGTATTGTGTTCAATAGACGTTAAACTCCATTGCATTATGATTATGTTACAGGAATGAAGAGATCTCGAGTTGTTTGTATGGAGAAGGAATCTGGTATTGTAGATGATATGTATTGTAATAAAACATCTAAACCTGATGATAAATCTAAATCGTGTAACGAACATCTTTGTCCACCAAGGTAAAACATATTTTAAAAGTTCTGCAATTTCACAGTCTTCACCGCATAAACTTAGTTTATTCGTTTTTGGTTACAACGAATCTCGATTTCCGTCTTATGCTCAAATCCAAATCTGCAAATCCTCTTCATTAACTCGGTTGATGCAGAAAAGTGGGACGTTAAACCTCATTTCATTTCATTCCTGATGTGGATTCTTGAAACAACATAGGATGCTAGTTTTCACTGAAAAGAATAATCGCATGATGACTTGAGAAACTATATTTGTATTTAGGAAAATAAAAAGCAGCCTTGTCCATTAACATTTCCGCCATTTTGTTTTGAAGGTGGTGGACTGGTCCATGGCAACGGTGTTCAGTTACGTGTGGACCAAATGGTTATCATCGTAGAACAGTGATCTGTGTTAGGAGTGTTAAACCAGATGAACAGATAGCATTAGAAGATGATAAATGCGAAGGATTGACTAAACCCACAGAAGTAGAACCTTGTCACCATAAAGATTCTTGTCCTGGTTTTACTAAATGGATTGTTGGACATTGGTCAAGCGTAAGTAAAAATTGTTCCAGGACTCTCCCGGTTCCTCCGTTGATGGTGGGTGGCCAAGTGGTCCAATACGTTCGCTTTGAATCATAAGTTTTCATGTGGCAAAGGATAGGTCCTCCCGGTTTCCTCCCACGAATAAAGACCCTTACCTACACGCATGCGAATTATTGAAATAATTTTGAGCGACGTATGCAAGTTTGCCACCAACGCCGCGGAGGTCATTTGGAGCATATTTTGGAAAGAACATGAATTGTATGCTAAGCGACCAAGATAACTGAAACTTTGGGGAATGATCGTACACAGACTTAAGTTTAAGTCCCGCAAATATCTTGTTGACTAGTTGCAGGATTTGCTAAAATTTTTATGTGTTCTATTTTTTTGGGTCACCTATTTTGATGATTTTGATGACTTTTGTTTCAGTGTAATGAAAATGTATGTCTGGAGAAATATCGAACAGTAGAATGTGATAGTCCTACTGTTGGCTGTGACATGATGACCAAACCTATAGATAAATTACCATGTAGTAATATAACTTGTGGTCAGTGGGTCTCTACAGATTGGTCTAATGTAAGTTTGTTTCCTCTTTCTCTACCAAGATTAGTACCGGTATGTGTTGAATATAAAGTAATAAAAGATTACTTATAATGATCTGTTTTAATTCCTGATTCTGTATCTGAGTGGATTTAAAACAACAGATATTCAATGGGCTTTTTCTATATTTTGGAATAAAACAATAGGTAGCCAGTGGCCCTTTGGTATAATTAATATAACAGGAACTCAACTGGCCTCTACAGCGCATGTTTTCGTAATAACAAGACAATTCTTCACAGCAGTTTTCAATTTGGGCCTAAGAACTTAAAAAGTGAGACTATCATAAAAGCGCATTATTGTTCTAAATACAGTACCAGAGGTTCTGCGGGCAATCAAACCCAAAGTCCATAAATTCAAAAAAGGATAGACAAATTATAGTATAATATTAGCTGGATGACATGCTGGTCTAAACACTTGGTATCATGTGTCTGTTATTTCGTCTATTAATATAGCTAACAATGTCTCTTGTGAGTCTGATTAACATAGCACCCTCTGCCTCCTCTTCGTTGAATTCGGCCAATGGTTCTTTTACCCGGAAACCAACAAGTGTTCTCTGGGCCTCAGTGTTATCAGACCATCTACACTGCACCACGCCAAGATTCGAATATTCCGGAGGTTGAACCGATGTCCTAATCACATAATCACAACGACCCCTCTATACATGATTATTTTACTTAACATTATATTTCAGTGTTCTGTGGAGTGTGGTGGAGGATTGCAGCATAGAGGTGTGTTATGTGAGAACAGTCACGTCTGTGATATAGAAACAAAACCTCAAGCAGAGCAAACATGTAATATCCAATCATGCCCACAACCAGAAACAACAACCCAAGTTCCCAAGGAACCCTATACGCCGCCATCACAAACCACTGCAGAATCAAGTGAAAGAGATTCGGGTAAGGAGAATGCCATTGATCTATCCGTCTACGAGAACACGCTCACTAATAAAAAGTTGGTGGATAAATCCATGCCAGATGAGATGCAGAATGCCCTAAAGATATTAAACGGTGAGGAAAAGCCCATAGAGCTTGGATCAGATACTGTTCACATCAGTAGCAACAGCGAAATCCTGACACCGGAGATACACGATGTGAACAACCAGGTCGACGACGGTACAACGCAACACAAACATCGTCATGGACATCAAAAACATCATCGTCATTCTCATACACAGACATCTACAGCTTCCATAATAGATATATCGAAATCTTTAGATGAAACGAAAAATATCCCAGAAATATTTGATATAAAAGAAGGTGGTGTTTATCCCGATACTTCAGATGAAGATGTCGAGGATGAAACTGCAGATGATTATCAATGGACAACTGAAGACTGGACTGAGGTAAGATGTTTTCATTTAAGTAACTTGTCATTGTCCACTGAAATAAAAGACTAATCAGTGCCAAGCACAGATCTGAACTTAGCGGGAACCGAGCACGCAATAGGCGTCCTTATAAATTTTGTTTTTAAATCCAAACAAAGAGAGGTTGTCCATATAAGAAAATGAGTTCAGAGATTTCTTTCAAGGCCACGAAAAAGGGCATCCCTATTTAAACATGTCCCTTGCTATCTTCTTGGGTACCCTACTTGTGATGGTTTCGTTTATCTTTCTGGTGAAAGATCCTAAATTTGTATCTTAATTTTAGATTATGCATCTATTTTTAGAATGATCAATTCTCTATTCTTGCATAGTCTGTTTTTGTTGTTGTACAGTTTTCCTGTAATGTGTATTAACGTAACTTGAGTCTTCGCGTGTGGTTCTTGAGCTAGAGAGGGATCCACAGTCGCGAGGTTGATATGGCGCTAGCACGCAAATCAGGAGGTTGGACCCCATGTTCCTCGACATTTTGGGTTTCGATTCCCTGGTTGTACCTGACAAGGAGTAGGGTCGCCTGACCAAGCGCGTGGGTTTTCTTCGGGTCCCCCAGTTTCCTCCCACTGCTAAAGACCCCTACGCGCAAGCGAATTATTGAAATAAAATTGAACCATGTGTTAGTCCCGAAATTACCTAGTTTGTGTCGAGTTGACGTTAAGCCCCATCTCACAGGCAACTCGTTAAGAATCCCGGATTATTAGCAATCAGACAAGAGTAGGCTGTATCTCTGGTGTTGGGGCTACAAATGTCTGATAAGTCACAGCGTGTGGTCGGTCTATTTTCGCTCCGTTTTAGCGTGTGCTTTAGATCATAGGGTCTGTCATTGAGTGAAGTAGTGGGGTTTCGATTCCCAGCTTGTACATGACAAGGAGCAGGTCGTCTGTCCCACCTCGTGGGTTTTCTTCACTCCATGTTTCCTCCTACTGCTAAAGACCCCCACCCCCACCCCTCGCAAGCGAATTATTGAAATAAAATTGAACCATATGTTAGTCTTGAAATGACCTAATTTGTGTAGAGTGGACGTTAAACCCCATTTGTCTCTCTTTCTTTTTCAGTGTTCCAAGACGTGTGGATCTAGTACTAGGACGAGAGTTATTACATGTAGCGATATGAACACCAATATAGTAGTCAGTAGTCACCATTGTAAAGATATAGACAGACCAAGTATGGAAGAACGATGTCTTCTAGATCCCTGTTTAAAATGGAGAACAACAGAATGGGGACAGGTATTTGTTTATGCCATATTTTTTACCTCACCTTTTTTAATGCGATAGTCGGGCGGTTAGGGGCTAGACTACCAGGTTATCGGGTGGCTTTAAATTGTCTGGCCGCACCCGTGTTTCTTCGTTCGTCATGGTTAACACCCACTTCCACTGAGGATGGACTCGTGGACAAATAATCTTGCCAGAAGAGCCAGATCGACTGAGAGGCAAATCTAGCGTACAATGGGAATGGTGGGGCGTATGATCAGGGTAATTCGGAGCTCCCATACCCGTAGTTAAAGGTTCAGTCGTTCTTTTGCATATATACTGTATCTGATGACATCTTTGAGTAACTTAATCATAACCACAGGGAAGGTGGCAAATAATTTAATATCGGCCATTAACACGAATGTTACTTTCTGATAAATAATTAAATTTGTTATTTTCAGTGTTCTGCAACCTGTGGATATGCTACGAGAACTCGTCTTGTTCGTTGCCCGACCGTGGGTAAATGTGACCCAACAGAAAAACCCAACCATGTTGAAGAATGTCATCTCCAACCCTGTACAGCTTGGGTGTCAGGAGACTGGAGTAAAGTATGTACAGTGTATATTGTTCCATAAAATAGATTTCTTGCGAAAACAAAGAGCACCACGGGGCTTCTCGTATATGGGATACTATAGCTTCTGTTATCCCAGTAGCTGTGTATTAGGCTACTTTCCAAATAAGATCGGTGGCTTTGGTTATTACTAGGAGTAGTAACTGGAAAATCTAACCTAAAACCGATAGTAGCATACACGTTGCGGGTCTCGTTTTATAATGTACACACTACACTGCTGCACCGAGATACCGACGTGGGGTATATTAGTCACGATTGTCAGTTATGCTATTTTATAAAGTGTAAAATGATTTATAGCCCTGGTTAATCATGTTTAATTTTTGTTTTGCTCTAAAAATTGACTGTCAGTTAATCATTCGGAAAGGACAGTCTTGGGAAGAGACATAACTATCATTATTTGATTTTGTTCTTGATTATACTTTCTTACAGTGCAGTAAATCATGTGATGGTGGATGGCAGGAACGATTAGTCAAATGTGTCAATTTGACGTCACAGCAATCGTCTGACGTATGTCAACAAGGTTTTAAACCAAACGGTAAACAGCAGTGTAATAAAGATGAATGCCCCACAGAAACAGGGGGTAAGAATTTATTTCCATAAGGCTAATAACTCATTGAAAATGAAATGAAAGGGAATTTCACGTATGTTCAGAGGGATATTTTGCCCAGTAACTTTGAATTCAAAGGGTCCGTTTACGGGCACACCGACGAGCACACAGGAGGATCTTGGAGTTCTGTCTCATCTGAACGACTGAAAGCTTTCCCTTCCGGCTTCATGCAACAGTTTATGTGAAGCCAGACTTAAAAATACTGGTCAACAGCGAGGTCGATCTTGGGAAGTGTACCAGCGCCTTTGCTGTATCATTTTTCTCGAAAAATACGGCGGCCGTGCCAGAGAAATGATCCTGCATAACTTTTTACCAGATGGTGGCCGATACAGCGCCTAGCAGAGACAATTCGCTGGATCTACAATTTGAAAACTAAACACCTTGAATCAAAATCAGAATTATATAATTTTCTGGAACTCTAGTTGCCTTCTATGCCTCTTGTGATATTGCAGTCGTTGTGGCTATTTCATATTTCATTCTGTTCATTTTAAGAAGTATCATTCAATCAAAGCAGGAATGTGGAGTATAATTGCAGCGGTAGTGATGCTGTTGTTCCATTTATATCCACTAAAATTTTATAATTCATCATTTGGCCACTGCACGGAATTTGATAATCGCCCGAGAAATAGAAAATGGTTTTGCCCGAGTCCCCATCTTATAAGTGGAATAGCACATGCTCTCTCTTATTCTAAATCTGCTGATGATCTTATTTGTTTTATATCTGTCCTTTTTCAGCATTAACAGTGACCTGTGCGTCAAAAGAAATGAGTTACCGAGTGTGTCGTATGCTAAAAAGACTAAATCACTGTAGTAAGCCATTTGTTATGGCCAAATGCTGTAGAACTTGTGGAAATCACAGACGTGAAAAGACCAAGCCACTATTCAGTACTAGATAACAAAAATGAAAAACTAATTTACTGTTTTATTTTATGTGATACCTGCTCAATTTAAGTATTGAAATAAACCTATTGGATTTAAAACTAAAACTTAAATACGAAGAGAGGAAATCTGATTGGTTGAGAACGAATGGAATCCAGAGAGAATAGTTATGTGTTAAATACATTGGACATCCGATACAAAGAATAAAGAAAGGGGATGAGTGTTGTATTAATGGTTTATTAAGTAGACAGACGGTGAAGCACCACTGAACTATAGATTACGGATTTCATAAACCAATAAAGATGTGTTTTCTGATCCATTCAGGAGAAAGGGTTGTTCATGTAAAACAAAATCACAAGGGAAATGGTTGGCTATGTGGATTTCCTAAATGAATGAACGTTTCCAGTTAAAGTCCCTAATCGTCACTTGAGGCAATAAGAATCCCTCGCAACCTACAATAAAAGGCACATTAGTCCAACAGGGTTCAAATCCGTTTAGTATTTGCAAAGATATGATGAAATGAAAATATTGCAACGTTCTTCATCTCTGTAGACGACATAAACAAACCACCGCCACATAGGGGTGTTATGTAATGTCTTTTGATCGACCTCTTCTTAATCTGATTTAAGCCAAACCGGGGGATTATCTACCTTGATATTTTGTTTTTGTTTTCTGGTATCAGTGTTGAATAATTAATTTGAATACATCAGTGGATTTAGCAGTTGGATTTTGGCCAAAACGTGCAAGTGACAAGCACCGTCTTTACGTACACCTTGGAAGCCCATTTATCAGCCATAAATTATAAGCCATATAGGCTGATACTACCTTTTATCTTCCCCACTAATAAGCTTTATACATTCTTGTTCTTGTCTTGTATTTGTCATGTTTTTAACACTTAAAACTATTAGCATCAATATTATTAATTGATTTATATAAGCTGTTTACTGTACCAAATGGACTAGGCCAATATATGGTGCAAACTCGGTAACATGGAAAGCACTGGAACACGGACATCTTATTTGATTTATTTATAATGGTTTTATTTCCGATTGTTTTTCATGTTATTGGACTGTCCGAAAAGATCCACAGCGAATCTAAACAGTATAAAAATTTCGCTATAGAAAATTTATACAAGTACATGTAATGCATCCGGTGCTGAATGGGTTTTAGCTTTATGAATGTATATTTTATTAGATAACAATACTTGACGAATTTCATGCATAATTATTAGAGGTAAGCTCTAAACAGTATTGAAGTCCTACCTCAAAAAAAAAACATACTCTTTCGTTTAAGGCATATTATTTTTTCGATTTAACGCAGTGTCTAGTCAGGATCTCTACTCTACGCCTCTTCTCCAAATATCAACGCGTTGGTTTTATTTTGGATGTTTTGTATATTTATTTATGGTAGTTGTAGTATAAACCATGTTTTTCTAAATGGTACAGTCCAATAGCTTTCCACATCCATTATCCTAAATAATAACGGCAAATGTGTTGTGTAGTTATAAACTAATATTAGTCTGGTTTAAATACCAAAGTACATCAATAATTTGTTAGCTATATGAAAACCTTAAGAGAGATGTGATTTCAGGTGTTCTAGAACATTAAGCACACCCTGTCTCATGCACTAGTTAATATTTCTGTTACCTATTTCTATGATATTTTAAATGAGTGAAATGCATCGAAACATAATCTGGTAATTGTGAATAATTATTAGACCTGTGGTGGTTAATAACATCGCTTTGCTGTAATTTGTTTAAAGGAATCCATACACATTTCCGTTAATCTTTTTTTTTTAAAATGATTGAACAAGTACATATTTATGTTCATTAGTGCCAGAAACGTTACTGGAGCTATACAGATACCAAAGGGTATTTATAAATAAGATGTCAATTCTTCGGTTGATATCTATGGTGCATTCTAGCACTTTATATGCAGTGAATGTGCAAATCAGTTTTAAAATTGTTTTCATAAGTACTACTTGTCATCATTTTAATTATTGTATTGTTGATAATTACCCTTTAAGTATCTTATTAAAGTTACACTAAGACACCTCGTAAACAAGTATCTTATTAAAGTTACACTAAGACACCTCGTAAACAAGAAACTTTATACTGATTCTATTTCGTACTGAAGAATAAACAAATATAAGTTCCGCGCCGAATTTTGTTCGGTACGACGTTTCATGTCCCGATTTTTGCTTATATGTAGGCAATAATACATTTTGTAAAATTTAGATCTAAAGTTTATAAATGTGCTTTAGTTATATAATGTTATAATATTGTAAGTGATTATATGATATCTAATGTTTCATATTCGAAAAAAATAAATGTAGAGAACGACTTTGTTATGACTTTTTATACGCCCACATCGGAATGTGGTCGTTTATTGCTGTCGCCTCCGTCTGTCCGTCCGTTCGTCGTCCAAAATTTATTGTGAACACTCTACAGACTACATTTATTATCTGATCAGTTTTAAAATGTATACACATTGTTCACATTAGTGATACAAAGAAGCCTATTTAAGCCTATTTAAACAAGTTATGGTCCTTGATAAACTATGTTGAACCTTATAAAGTAAGTGCAGGGGGACTCACGACTAAAGTTATCATCCGACCTACATTAAATTTGAATGTGTTATCTAAATTAGTAAAACGAAGAATCCTATTGAATTTCAGGACTTTCCATTTATAACTTCTAGAGTTATCGCCCTTGTTTCACTTTATTGAACCTTGTGAACGTTCTAACGACTTTAGTTGTTATCCGATCTGTATTAAATTTACATTCATTATTTAAATTAATAAAACGAAGAAGCTTATTCAATTTCAGCAATTTGGGTTTATAATTTCTAACCCGTCCCTGGTTGAGCAAGCGACACTACTCTTTGTCAGGTTCAATGTCGAAACGACAATGTACACTGTATACCAAATAAAATACCAATTTATTATACATAACTATACTTTCATATATAGTATCTGCTGCTCCAGACTTCAACTCAATTGAGCTGCTGAGGTTTGCAAAGCTCTAGTGGCATTTGATAATTTTGGTTATGAAATTGACATAGTAGTGTTTCTGAGATAGACCATTTGATTAATATAGTACCGGTAACTGAATTTCATAATTTATTTCAATAAGTCAAAGTGTCACTGTTAAAGTATAATACTTACAATTCAAAATTGGAGAGGAATTCAGAACTATCGAGTTCCTTATATAATCAATGACAATGACCTTTGCATGATATTGCTGTTAAGCACTATTCATTATAAAAAAATGTTAATAACAAATATTAAAAACGAAACATTGTATGCTTACTGTTTCTATGGTTAAATGTATGGCAAATGTAAAGGGTAAAGAATGAACGCCCGGTTCCAACGTGTCAGGCGTAGCTTTTGTGCAGCTGACCAGTAGAATGTTGTCTAATCGTTCTGTTTGGTACTAAAAGCCGTAAAAAGAATCATTGACAGTTGCGGAAACGCAAAATTCTCCTCCCTGGCATCACCAAATGACCACGTTTGCCTCAAAATCTCCGAACTATTGAGCTGGGTTGGTTTTACATTTGATAGTACATTTTAGCATAGCATCAAATCTTGACAGTGATAGTCTTATAACGCCTGGAGGTGGTTGGGAAGGCTTAGCAGACTATAGTTTGTAACCGAATGACATAAAATATATCCGTGTCATCGTGAATTGTACGGGACTAGGAATAGAATCGTCTGCCCAGCCCCCTGACTTTCCGGACACTCCCAATTAAATAAAACTTGATTTAACTTTCTACTTTTCTCAAATGAAATAAACGGAAACACGTGTTCCTCCCAAAATACTCTAGTTGTGCAGAATAACCGCCAATCCTTATTTGCTCCCCTGACAAGGGGAAACCACACCCAGAAAATCCCGTTGCACTTTCTCGGCCAACACCGGGATAGATCCCGCGACCTCCAGGCCAGCAAACCAGCATCTTACACACTTAGCCACCTTAGCTCCTGTTCCATAAAGTGCAAGGATTAAAAAATAAATCGATTGATAGCAGTAAAAATAACATATTTTATTAACCGTAGAGGAAATTATAACGATTGTAAAGACAAGGATAACAAAAGTAACTGTTAAGCACTTGAAATATCACAAATTAAAATCATTTATAAACAAGCGCTAGAAATATCAAAAAATAAAATCATTATAAACATTGTACATAACTATAACAATCAGTTGCAATATCACAAATTAATATTGTTTAAAACAGTATACATAACAAAGTATATCAATAATTTATAGGAGTACAGAGTACAGCCGGATATATAAAATAATTAACACTAATAGGTTGCATATAAATTGATTAACTTGGTGACTTTATGAGTCCAATTCGGCAACATATAACTGGGTAAACATCGGGACGAATTCGGCAAAAGTTACATCCAATGGCTTTAATCATAACTAGGTTAACATCGGGCGTTTATATATTACCATCAGTAAAACTTGGTTTAATTACCATATAATCAAATTATACTAATATAGAGTCTGACATCCAGGGACCGACAGAAGATATATCTGCATCAGAGTCAATATTCTCATAATATCCACTACTTTCACTATCACTGACATCTGCCTCTACTTCCTGTTCTAGCGGAAGTTCGGGTAGTGGGCGTTTTCTAATGTATGATTTCTGTCTAAACATACGTCGACGTTTCTCGCTGGTTATAGATGAATATATGTGATCACAACTATATCTCCTGTCTGTGACGTCATAATCTTCTACGCGAGAAGTTAAAGATTCGATGGCTTTAGGTTCAGCATAACAGGTGCACAAGCTTTCGTTTGTTACTGGATAATCAAGGCTATACTCTTTAAGACAAATTAAACATACTTCTGGACTGGATAATTCTTGACTAAGTTCTTGGCTAAGGGAGGTAGCCTCTCGAGCTAAACCATACGCTAAATACGATCTGATGTTGAATTCCGGAATCTCATTATAAGAATGATTCAAATCTGGAAACGTATTCTCTACTTCAAAATATAATGGACTGGTAACGTCACTTCCTAGGAATGAGCACTTCCGTTGTTTCTTTGTAGAGTTACCAGAAGGGGCCGATTGACGTCTACAACGTTTCTTGATCCAGGATAGCATGATGGTTGAATCTGTGAAAAATAAATTAAAGAGAAAAATAGTTAATTTTCTGTAGACTGAAATATATAAATATAAGCAAAACATATGACAAGAGACAATTTTAAGATACAATTGTAGTCTAGTACAATATTGCAATTCGATTAACTTTAGGCAGATCATTCTTTCGTTTTCTTTCTTTGAAACACAACAATTGAAATAAAATGAAGACTCATTAAAGCTGTTAGTAAATGTATATTTTTTTTTTTTTCAAAAAATAAATATGAAAGATATTCAGAGTTTGAAAAAGGTTGTAATAAAACCAAATGGTCTGAAAAGTGTAAACGGGGCCTTATTAAAGATGTTGGTACAGAAACAAGAAATTTAAAAATAGATGTAATAAAACTTAATATTCTGAAAAGTTTAAAGAACTTACCTGTATAATTATATGATAAATGCCTTGGCGTATATCGTTACACTGATCGATACTGGTGTATCTGTAGAATAATAATACTTGCAATACAGAGTGCGATGATGATGATGATAGATAGATAATGAAATATAATGAAGTCAAACATCAGGACAGGCGTTTTATATCTACTTGTAAAAATTGTCATCTTTAACTCTGTCGTGTCGAAGATATTTGGTGTTTCCTCCCTGGCATGACATTATCCGCCTCAGCGTTATCAAAACATTCGATTATCGTATTGAATTGATTGGGAATATTTCCTTGATTGATGTTTGATGAATAATATTAATCTTAATTCGGGTGAGGCGAAGCGATGAGCTCATCCTGATCGGTCTTATCAAAACACCAGATTATCGTATGGAATTGATTGGGAATATTTCCTTAATTGATGTTTGATTAAGAATTCTTTAACTCGGGTGAGGCGAAAGCGTTTCCTTACTGTCATGACTGGATTATCGTATCAAAGTGATTGGTATGTTTGATGAAGTCTTCCTTCCCGCGATAGATTGATTGTGTTATGATTACACTACAAAACGCCAACACAATTTTAATCCTTTTTAACAATTTTTCGATCCTTTAAGTGTATAATTTAATTAAATCAACCTGTCCATAATATCATATTTATTGTATTGGACGTTAAATCTGTAATGAACAACAACAACAATTTAATCCTTTATTTATAACTATAAATCTGAAAGATAATGCTATACGTAATATCAGAAGTACACGTTTATTTACAATATACATATATTTAACGAAAATAAAACGCTTTTTAACATATTTGAAATCTTAAATGTAAACAACAAGATTCTTTATAAGCCGGAGATTAATAACTTTAATCAGGGGTGAAAACATTAATGAAGATGAAAGTGATAAATATAGTTATTTGAAGCAGTGGTAGTTTATAATAATTTATTATACTCGCTTGCAACAAAGTAAATTTTGTTATAACCTGTCCATGACCATATCCCGATTGGTGTTGGGCGTGTTATGATAAACAAATCAAAGTGACAGATTGAGGAATAGATTCTTCAATTACTCTTTTTATATGGTTCATCATGATCGAATGATAAAATGTATATTATAAATGATTTACAATTTGCATGAATATATGTTCTTTAGGTTTGGTATAGATTTGTACTTTATTGCATCTGATGGGCAGTTAGCACAGGGAATATGTAGCCTATGTCTGTCCCTCATTCCCTTTCAATTGTTGAATAAAAATATTGTTTACATATATAAAAAAACAACATAATAAACAACAATAACGTCATATTTATAATGATGACAATCGGATAGAAATCGTGCCGGTTATAATAACACGATCACACTGTCTCTCACGAATTAATCGTAAACAATTATTATTCCCTGTCTAATCAGGACACGATTAACTAGTGTTTTGATATGGTTGATTGGAATGTAACGCGGAAAATCCTTCGGACCATCATAGCTATATTGATGGCAATATGTTATGATAGCACCATCACACTGCCCTTACCAATCACAATTGATTATTATTCCGG